CTCTTGAGCTTCGGGCGAGGGAGCAGGAGAGCCGCCTCATCTCCCCACGGTTGCTAAACGAGGCTCTGTTTGTTCCAGTGCAGGGTGAAATATGAAATCCCATCAAGCCGCCTTGCTTATTAGAGAGATCTCAGCGAGCTGTTTATTATGCACCATGGCGTAATGCAGATTACGAATGTGACCGGGCGATAATTAGCAGAGCTGGAACTGTAATTAAACGCTCCTGTGCTGCGCTGTGGTTTCTGTTGCAAAGTGGAAGGAAGCTGAACGGTTTCAAAACCCGCAGGTCCTCGGCGTGCACATGCGGCCGCTGCTCCCGGGGCGATGGGGGGTGAGCGCTCCCCATCACCACCCGGGCTTTTGCTGCTGCCCACCAAAATCAGGCAGCCCTGCCTGGTTCCTCTCCGGCTGTTACGTTGCTGGGGACTTGCTTTTGGTTTGCAAAATGTGGTGTTGAGGAGGGGTTTGCTTTCCTGAGCCCCTTCGAAGGAGCCTCGTGCTTCCTTCGAGCATCTTTCTGGATCCGCCAAGATGCGCAGGATGGGGTTGCTGTATCTTGGGGAGGTGGTTTGCCTGTGGGGGCACAGGCCTCCTCTCCGGCAGGCTCGTGGGGGTTTTTTATGCCAAAAAAACCCTTCTGAAATCCCACGGGGCAGCCTCGGAGGCGGGCGGCGATGGAGAGCTGGGGATGGGCTCCTGGGGAAGAGCTGGTCCTGCCAGTGGGAGGTCGGAGGCGGTGCATGGGGAAAAGAGCTGTGGAGCATGAGCTGTGCTGGACCAGCCACCTCCAGGCCACCTTTAACGCTCAGTGGAGGGGTTGCACTCCTATGAGTCGTCTGGAGAGAGGACGGATGCAGGAGGACGAGGAGAGGGCTGCAGGCATGTGGTCAGAAAGTACTGTTTGTTCCTTTGCTGGAAGAGCCAATCCAGTTGCCTTGGCAGAGCCAGAAGATCTCCGAGTTCACAGGGGTCACGTTCGTGTCCCCCACCGGCAGCCATCCCGTGGGAGCAGGCAGAAGCCGCTGGGTGGATGTGATCTCCTCCTCTCTGTTCCTCTGCCTAGAGATTTGCACCCTCTCCGCTTGCGGACGGTGTTTGTGTCGCTGAGGATGCGGCAAGGCGCTGCGGGGTCATGAGTTGCCAGGGAGGTGGGATGCTCCAGCCACTCGCTGCAGTTATGGGGCAGGCGAGGTTGGACTTGCAAGCTTCTGCTGGGGTTATTTGTCTTGCTTAAAGGATAGAGGCGCGTGAGCAAGAGAGCCAGCAGATAATTTTGAGGGCTGGTCAAGACCAAGATGCCAGTTCAGGGTGGGAGTCTGACTGTTTGGTGACTGTCAGCTATATTGGCCAAGAAGAGCCAGCAGCGAGGTTGGAAGTGGTCGTGGGCTGGTGTCCATGTCCACTCTCGGTGACCAGCAAGCTTGGCCTCTCCAGGGTTATAATCATCTCTCCTCAACAGAGGCTTAGGAGGACATCTCTCAGTCTGGTGCTGGATGCTCTAGAGGGATCTTCCCCTGCTTGAAACCAAAACCCAGGTCAGCGCTCGCTGATGATTTGATTAGTTTCCTCAGTCTAGTTCTGTTTTGAGGTTGCTCAGTATCTTACCAAGATCATAAACCATAAAGAGAGGAGGTCTGAGCAGAGGATGAGCAGCTAGCCCCAAAACTGCTGCAAATCCTTGCGAGCTAAGGTGAGGGGGTGACTGACTATGACTGGCTTGGCTGATGAACCCTGAAGGACAGGAAGGTCTCCACCCTACCCTTCCCTTGGCCGGCAGCAAAATCAGCCCGTCAGCCATCCTTCTCCTAACACTGCTGTAATCTGCTAGCGTGGCAGAGCAGCCGAGGACCTTGGCTTGTCAGCGGCAGGGTGACTTGGCTGTGGTTTCGCTTGGTGTGTTGGCTTGTTGGCTTTCCAAGGCCAGCTCTGGCCGTGAGATGTGGTTTCCATGCGCAAGGAGAGCGCGATGGCTGGCGCTCAGTTGGCTCGGCCGTCGGCCGGATCAGGCTGTGAAGCGGATGCTCGCACAGAGAAGAGGGTTGTGATCTGAACGCCTGCGTCTTCAGGTGGTCACAGGGTAGATTTGGGAGGAGGAGGATGTTGGTTTTCATGGGCGCTGGAGGGAGAGCGCTACTCGTTTGTCCTGTCCTGCCTGTTAAGCAGAAGCCTGTAATTTTTTTTTTCTTCTAATGAGCCATCAGGTCCAAAGTCATTGACTGCGTTAACATCTGAGCAATAGCCAAAAGGCATCCTGACTGGGAATGATTACACTGGCAAAAGCAGGAGAGCACATATCTCCTGCGGAGGGACTTTTGGGTGTGATCTATATGACTACAAAGTGCTGGCTCTTCAGGGTTACGTGGGTATGGGCACGCCAGGGTGGGAGAGACCTGTGAGATCTTTGTCCTCTGATGGGGCGTGGGACTTGAACCGCCTGCTGGCATAGGCATTGAGAAGGTGGCAGCCCTGGGCTTGAGGTTCTCCAGGAATGTAGGTGCCTGTTGATGCTCGGTCTCCTTCCTTTCATCCCTAACTGTATTCCCGACGGTGACCGGCATGTTTCTTCCCCACAGATGGAGTCTCCGGTCTCTACGCCTGCGGTGCTGCCCTTGCACCTCCTTGTCCCTGTCGTCAACAACGACATCTCGTCGCCTTGCGAGCAGATCATGGTACGCACCCGCTCGGTGGGAGTGAACACTTGTGACGTGGCCCTGGCCACCGAGCCCGAGTGCCTGGGCCCCTGCGAGCCCGGGACCAGCGTGAACCTGGAGGGCATCGTCTGGCAAGAGACGGAGGACGGTAAGTGCCACTGAAGAGCTTTTTGCTCTCCCACAATGTCATTTTGGAGTTACGGCAATCCCTTCCTTCCCGTGTCCGTGCCGTGTTGCGTGTTGGCACGTCCTGGGCTTTCCCCCCACCATCTGGGTGGTCAGGACACAGAGGAGCCCTTAGTCTGTCCAGCAAAGGGAGTGACGGGCCAAAACTTGTGTCAGCCCAACGCGTCGCATTATCCCCTTGTCCAGACAGTGGACGAAATCTAAGCTGCCATTTCTCTGCCTTTCTGCAAGAGCTAACTTGTTCTGGAGGCGCCAGAGGAAAGGCCGTGCCATCCTGCACGGGAACTCGACGGAGTTGACTTTGTTTCTGCTTGGCAACCCGCAGGTCTGTCACAAAAACGCTCAAACCCCGGGAGGCAGCAGAAATCTCCTGCTGGATTAAAAAACCCCAGCGGAGCTTTCAAAATCGACTCAGCGGGAGCTCAGGCTCTCGCCTCTCTTGCCAAGCCAATCAAACCTTTTCTTTCTGCCGGAGCTCGTCTCATCTGTGCGCAGCTTGGTTTGCTTTCCCAGGTCCTTTGATGGGTTTTCGTTGCTGTTGGGGGTCTGCCAAGTACCGCGGGGATGAATAGGTGGCTCAGTGGGCCACGGCGAGCGCTGGAACCTGGCCTTCCCTCCAGCCTTGTTGGGATGCTGGAGGGTTCTGCTTCGGGAGGCTCAGGGTGAGCTCCTCATACTTGTGCCTGGCTTCGGCTGGGGTCTGGAAGCAGAAACAGAGCCCAGAAGCACAAAGGTGAGAAAGAGCAGTGGTGGTGGAAGCCAGCTGGTGGTTCACCTCGGCTGGGTAACCAAGAGCTCCTCTTGGATGTCTGCTCCCGCTCCTCCATCGCCGCTGCGCGTGGGGAATGAAGCTATTGGCCTTAATCCCCTGGCCGCTCCTCACTGTGACTGTCTTCGGTATCTCCGATGGAAGCTGAACTAAAATCTGCGTTCCCAGGAGCTGCTGCCAAGGGGGGTTCCCTTGTCATCCCATGTTTTGGGAAGACGGGGATGGGCCCAGTTTGCCTTTCCTCTCTCCCTGCTGGGAAACTGGTTTTGAAACTGTGGTTGACAACAGGACCGAGTGCTGCGATGACCCCCGGTGTGGAGCTGGTGACCACTGAAATTGTTCCCGTTGGGAAAAGCGTCGTGACCTGAGCTGTTTGGGAGGAGAGGATTGCATGGAATATGCTGGGGAAGACTCTTAGCTTGGATGGGGACTTCCACATCCTCTACCCTCTGTGCTTCACCGTCTGTTCCGTATGGACAAACCCATCCAGACTGAGGCAGCCTGGGAGCTGTAAGTGTGTTTTTTCTGCTGCTCCGAGGCAGAAAGACGCCACACATTGTAAAATCAGACCCAAGGATCCACTACTTGGAGCGAGGCTTGCTGGTGGGGGCAAGGAAACACAAAGCAGGAGGGTTCAGGAGCCCGGCTCTACGCACCCCAGGGCTGGGGGATCTGCCGGGGGGATCTGCTCAGAGGAAACCTGCGGAAGGTCTTCTGCTGAGCTACCAGTGCACTGGCACTGCTTGTTCGGTGCCTGCAAAGAGCCTGATCGCTTTACAAGATGCAGTACCTGCAGCTAGAGAAACTGAGGCACGGCTGGGCTGAGTGTTGGGACACGCAGCTGCGCAGAGGAGTGTCAGCACCCCCCACTTCTGGGGTGCCTGCTATCCCCACCACCCCCCATCCCCCACCAGCGTGCCATTCTGGTCTGATTTCCCTCAACCCAAAAGCCCCAGAGCTGCAGAGTTCGCTGAAAATCCCAGGACTGCCGGAGACCCCCACGGGCAGCAGTGAAGCCCATGAGAGCTTGGACCTTGTAGGGTTGGTTTTTTTCAGTGGAAATCAGGAGAAGCAGCTCGTGGTGGGCAGAGGAGCCCAAGTGGCCATGCCAGGAGGGACAAACAGAGCATCCCTGAGGCAGAGAGCACAAAAACATCCTCCTCCGCCAAATCCTGGTTGAGAGGCAGTGACATGGGAGTGGTTTCTGGTTCTCCTCCCTTTTCTCCTGCTCCTCACCCCACTGCGAAGCTCTGCGGCCCATCTGCCTGTCCGTCCGCATTACCCTTCGCTTCCGCAGCCACCATTTCGGAGCGTGCCTCGGAGGCGCCCTGCAATTTCGCACAGCCTGGCTATTTTTAATCTGCAGTAATTTGATGAACTCGCGCAAAGGTCCTTCTCCCCTGGCTGATGGTTGGTTGCCACCATCGGGAGCTATGACTTTTACGGCCAGCCCTGCAGAAGACAAATCCCTCTGTTGCCTTTGGTCGTTTCTGGTCTGCTGTGCGCGTTGGCTCCTGGCGTAGTGACATCTCTCGTCCTCGAATGAAAAGTCAGGGTGAAACCATCCCTATTTCCTGCCGGGCATCTCTCTCCTGCCTTCCCATGGTTAATGGGTGGGTCAAGGGCGATGCTGGAGGAGATGTTGGACCTGGCTGTTCAAAGCTGGAGCTTGTGAAATGTATATGGATGCAGCGAGCATCTCCCCTCACCTGAAGGATACAGGGGAGAAAGCTACACCAAGGGCATGTCTACAAATCCAAATGAGGTGCTTTCAGCACGAGTGAGCACGTCTGTGTGGCCGGAGACCATCCCCAAGATCTTCAGAGGGATCCCAGCACCTTCATCAAGAGGGATCCACCTCTCACCCTGCTCCTTGTGATGCTGCAGCCTCGCCGCACTGCTCGGAAAGACCCCAGGGCAGCAGGAGCAGCGGGATGGAGCCTTACCCCCGCGGGGCTGATGGATCCTGCCTGCTCCCACCAGGTTAACGAGAGCAGAGCTTAATTGCAAGAGATTTGGTGAAGCACTTGGTTCAGAAAGCTCTTTCTCGCAGTGCTTGGCTTGCATCAAGAGTCCTCTCTGGCGGTGGAGAGGAGCTTCCTAGCTCAACTGCAGCAGCCGCTTTCTCCCCAGGGGTGACATCGCTGAATCCCTGGAGCCGTTGGCACTGGGAGGAGCAGAATTATGGTTGCTCCCGCTTATGTCCCGGCTTCCCGAGCGGGATGCTGTGGGCAGCGTCGTCAGCGGTTCCCACCGAGCCTCTCGGGAGACATCTCTTCTCGGACCTGCCCCTTGGACTCCCACGGTAGTTGCTCTGACGTGGATCTTTTTGCGAGCTGCTCTTCTCCCAGCTGCATGTTAACGGCGTGTGCCCCCGAGACGAGGGGATCTGCATTGCTCTCTGCACGCTGGCAAAGCGTATTTGGGCTCAGGCGGTTGCAAAACTTCCCTTCCCGTGAGGCTGGGAAGAGGAAGGCAACGTGGTTCTTCAACCAGAGCTCCCTTTTTTTAGAAAATGGCTTTTGGGTTGGCCGTGGAGCTGGGAAGTCGGGGAGAAGGGCTCCTAAAGCCAAAGCCTGGCAACACTGGAGCGACCTTGGAAGGACAAGCTGGAGCTGACCCATCAGAGATGTGAGCGTGAAGCTCTGAGGAGCCCCACGACGTCCCCCTGCCTCGAACACCAGCTTCGTCCTCTCCCCCTCTAGAAAACCTGCTGTGAGACCGTGATCGCTGCCAAAGCCACCCTGGTGGGCTCCCACCACCAAACATCTGATGTGGGGCTGGTGGTCAGTCTGCTCCACCACGGCTCCAGGTTGGTGTTGGGCTGAGGTCCGGTCTTGCCAGCGGCGGGCCCCGGTCGTATGCACTGTCCTGTAGCCACGCTGGTGACACCGTCCCTTTTGCCGGGCCCATCTTGTGCAGGGAATGTGGTTTTTTGAAACACCTTTGGTGGGAGCAGCTGTCTCGGCAGTTCCCCTAATTCTGTTAGGTGTGATTTCAATCTACAGGAACTATTAACTGATCTAATTACACCGGAAAGCATCACTCCGTTTGCTGCCTCGTTAGCTGCTGGGTCTCCTCCATCCCCCTCCGCGGAGCTGGTGTCACCTGGCTCGGAGCATGTCACCTCCTTGCCTCCGCTCGGAGCGAGCGACCTGCGTCCCGGCACCACGCTGGTGCCGTTTGCAACCAAAACAGGCCGGCGTCTGACACGCAGACCCTCCGAGCAACGAGGATTGCAGTGTGGCAGCACCACAGCAAACTCTCTCCGCACCCCTTCCTCCAGCTCCATGCTGGAACGGTGGCAGCAGGTCGCCTGCAGCCGAGCTTCGCGTGCTCCGGGTGTTTGGATTGCGCTTTTGCAAACATCTCATGAGGGTATGATGGAGCGTGCACGTCCTCGGGGACCGCATATGCCGACATGGACATGTCCTTGCACAGAGCAGGAGGGAGATGCGATAGGTTGGGAAAGGATGGGGAAGGTTTGGAGGGTGAGGGCAAAGACTGGAAGATTTTACCATAACCGTGAGGAAGCCTGACCCCAAATTTGATGGCTTTGCACGTTGAACGTGCTGCCTCGCCGTTATCGCGCAGCCTTTGATTGCGACTCCGGTTGCTTTTTGCCTCTGGGGCTGTTTTAAAAGGGGGATGTGCCAAGATTGCACTGCCTGTGGGTGGGCTTTGGGGCTTCCTACACCATCCCCTACGTACGCGCTCCGGTCTGCATAGCCGTGTGTACTTGAACCCGGGACCAGGAGGTGAGTTTTTAAGGCTGATGCAGCAAGGGCGAGGAGCGGGAATATGGATTTCTTGTTTGCTTTAATGGCGTTTTCCAAAGTAACGAGCGGTTGTAAATCCCCTCCAAGGTTGCTGAGCCAACGCGCAGGCTCAATGCGCTTCTCCGAAGCCTCCTAAAGCCGTGACAACGCGGCTGTGACCGCTCTCATCTTCAGATCAGCAATCCGGCAGCTCGCTCCGGGTGGCAACATCATCCGGCACCGCTCGGTAACGGGGCATCTCATCTCCGGTGCTGCGAGCGTTGCTGGTGTTTCGGGCTGCTGCCTCGCACCCTCCTGCCATTTCACCGATGGATGGGGAGGCTGCAAACCCCCCGGGCGCAGAGGCTGCTTGTGTGTCGGTGTAGAGAAGCAGAGCTTTGTTATGCATCATTCCCTGGTGCTCTCCCGGCGCCA